AGGGAAGTCGGCCCTCCCCCTGCGCCGACGGCTGGGGCTGTCAGGGCAGGAAGCTGGCACCGCTCCCGCATCCCCCTGCGCCCGCAGACATTGTACTGAGGGTGGTGAGTCGCAGGCCCAGGGATGGAGGGAGCCCTGCTGGTTGGGCTCAGGCTCAGGCTGCCCTGGGGGAGAGGGAGCAGGGGGGTGTCCCTGCACATTCTGCACCCCCCTGTAGGGTCCCCGCACGTCCCCCTGGCTGCTGAGCCCAGGCGCACAGGTGTGGGAGCATCCTCGAGGCTGCCCAGGTGGCAGGAAGGACACGGCAGGTTCAGGCGGCACCCTTTGACCCCTGCGCCCCCAGGCTGCAGCCAGACTGGACAGGCTGCACAAGCGCCCACTCCTGTCTCTCCCGGCTGGATGTTGCCCCGAGAGAAGGCCTGCAAATAAGAAATTAAAGATCTGTGATGCATTTCAACCAAGTATTTGAAAACTAGGAGGCATGAAACCATGGTAATAGAAAGCTCTGCCAACCTTTGGAAAAATCAGATCCCTGCAACAATTCCCTGGAGTAAATACAGCACAATGCCAACAGAGGTTTTGCATTCAAAAATTATTTTTATCCCTCTGAAAATTGTGGCTTTCCATGTGGACAAAGGCAGGGAATTAAGGGTGCAGCAGGGTGGTATGCTTCTCTCCAGCACTGCTAGGGGGTTGTTTAAAATAAAACAGTGCTACCAGACCAAATTTTTTTTATTTTGGATTTTAAAACACATTTCCAGACCCATTTCATTGTCACTTCCTGCAACTTCATTGGTGTCAAAGGTCATGTGACATCACTTCCTGATGTAATACTGCTTCCTTTGAGGTCTTTGAATATGGCTTGCTGGCCCATTGGGTGATGAAAAGTCCATGATCTTGCCTCACATTCAAAAAGTTTGGACACCACTGGTCTATACATTTCAATTCCTACACACCTCAGGTTCCTGTAACTGCCCTTCCTGAAAAAACTTGGGGTTTCAATGGCCCCAGGAACTCATGATCTGCCCAGGGCTGCAGATAATAGCACTTAGCGGAACAATGACTAGACCCCCCACAAAGTTTCACCCCAAAAAACACCTCCACCCCAGGAAAGGCTGGGGAACAAAGGTGGGTGTGAGGTCCTCGTGCTCTTTCTGTGAATAGGTCCCATTAGCACATCAAGAGCCATGCCAGACATTGAGGCACTAGAACCAACAAGTAAAATCACAGTCAGTAATGTCTGAAATGTCCCTACACCTGGTTTTTGATAACATGTGATCAGCGGGAAAAAAGTAGGCACTGAGCAGAAAATTGAAATGGCCAAACCCTGAATTAAGGATTGGTGAATAAAGAGGTTAACATTAAGAGCCTTGCTCTTTACATGTCAATTACTACACATCCTAGGTTCCTGTAAGTGCCCCTCCAGAAAAAACTTGGGGTGTCTGACCTCAGAAATCCATGATCTGATGAGGGCTGCAGTTAGTAGCACTTAGCAGATTGACTAACTAGCTCCACCATGAAGTTTCACCCCAGGAAGCACTTCCAATCTGGTATAAGCCAGGGAAGAAATGTGGGTGTGAGGTCCCTGCACTCTTTTTGACTAAGTCCCAATAGTTTCATCCCTCTTGTAAAAACTTGGGGTTTTAGGTTTTTGGGGGATTATCCCTGAAATCCATCAAGCTGTCAGTGGTAAAAAGGCAGGTGCTGAGCAGAAGACTGAATGAATGAACCCCAATTTTCTCCCCTCGCTCCCCCACAGCAGACCAAATAGACCCTGAGGAGCACAGTTGAGCAATTGTTAGGTCAGATGGTGTTGTTGGGGGAGGGAAGGGGCATGTGCTTGAAGGGCCAGCAATTCCTTTCAAGCTGCATTGCAAGTCGCCAGGCAATGAATTTTGGGCATGTGTGGTAGCAAGTCATTAAGAACTATCCTTCTGGACAATGGGGCATGTGCGGGACAATTTGGGGTGGGCTATGGATTTCAAAAGTGGTCTGTTAGGAAAGGTCACATGAGCAGATTTGTGTGAGTGCTAGTACTGAGAGACAGTTCACACCTGCGTAGATATGGATATGTGGAAAGTCAGACCTGCACAGTAAGTTTCCATATACATGTCTATATAACTGTTCTCAGCTGGGGGCAGAAACCATCTTGCAGCTCTGGCCAGAGCATAGCAACCCCTCTCTCAGTGAGTCATTTTGGCCTCAAAAATATACTCAGTGGAGGCACTGAAGAACAAGCCATGTCTGCCGGGCTTGGAACAGCAGCCAGATGCATCTTAAAGCCAGGGCCCCAGCTGGGCCCAGGAAGAACTGGCAGATTTGACTGATATTTGGATTGACCAAAAGGTTCTGGCGCAGCTGGAAAATTGATTAAATAAGCCTGTCTATGTATCCATTGCCAAGGAAATGAAGGAGCGTGGCCACAACCGGGACTGAGCACAGTGCTGCAGCAAGATGAAGGCCCTTAAATGTGCTATCTATCGGGCCAAGGACCAGAATTCTTGTTTGGGGGCAGGACGCACAGTAGCCCCATTCTATGAGCAGCTGTCCTGCTTTCTTGCGAAGGATGCAAGTGACACTTGGCTTCAATCCTTCAGCATGATGGGGTTGCAGGATGGCACAGCATCACCTAGCCCACAAGAGTCCACAGACTGTCCTGCCACTGCAGCGGGCAGTGCAGTATGCACTGTACAGCCTTCAGGCAACCAGTCAGAGGCGGGGGGCAGTGCTTGCAGCAGCTTCAGGACAGGGAGAACCAAGACTAAGTTGTCTTGACCCTGACCCCATTCTCCCTGATGCTTTTCCTGCATAACCCAGAGGAGGGAGGACACATTGGATTCCACGATGGTATTGACCCTGGATTTGTGCAACACACCAAAAATTCCAGAGACCCAAAGATCAGTGTCGGTGCGAGAGATGCTCAAGGATCCATGCCAGGGGACTTGTAAGTTATGAGAAGGGGCATTAGATCAGTTTGGGCCACTGGGGCTTACGTGAATCTCACCCTGCTTTTGTGCCACAGCCAAGAGTGGCCAGGAGGGAGGGAGGGTGTTAATTTTATAAGCGGCAAATATGTCCACTGCTTGCAGTTGTGCAGTGTTCACTTACATGGGGGTGGACGTACAGGGCCCTCTCTTAAAGTTGGTTAGGTGGGGGGAAGCATTAATTCATTTACTGGCAGGAATTTGTGCTGCTGAGAGATGTACAATGAACTCCTCAGTGGACTGGGGAGATCTGGGTTCCTGCATAATCATCCTTTGCAGGTGCCTGCGTTAATTCTTCAAGTAGCAGGGATACTGCTTGGCAATTGCCAATAGTCCATCTGCTACAGGGAGTAGGGATGAGATCTTTAACCATGAACACCTCTTTTTTTCCCCATTCCTGTTACCAGCTACCTCACCCGCTGGAATTTTGGGATGTTCACTGGAAACGCAGACTCCAACACAGACTGAACCTGAACAAATGCGTGAATGCTGCCACAGGCAGCAATGGTCAAGAGAAAGCATGATGGAGGCTTTGGTGGCAGCTTCTGAATTGCGAGTACGGTCTGTGGATGAATGGTGGGACAAACTCTGCGAGGTGTATAAAAAGGTTGAAGAGCACAAGGGAATTCCTTGACCTGGCCAATAAGTGCTTTCAGAATATTGCCTGGAAGCCAGCAAGTAGAGGGCACGTTTAGACAGGAGCTCCTTAGACACATGACCCCAGCCCCAATTCGTGAGCTGACCCCCGGGACCACCCATGCAACATCCACTGTGCATGCCTCTATATGTGAGCTGACCCTCATAGAGAACCCTATCCATGATCTGCTCCCCCATAGCGACAACCTCATAGACAGCCACTGTGCCTTCAAGTGAGGGGTGCACCTACTCTAGCAGGACAAGAAGAATGCCACGGTGCTTTAGGGATGAAGGGGAGGATGAGACAGAAGGGGCATGGGGGCCAGAGTGGGGAAAGAGCCAATGATCGGTGATGGGTTTTTAGTTGTTAGTGCAATGCTGATGCTTCTGTAGCAAATCGGGGAGTGAGCATTGTGTTCATGTGTTGTTTTGGTTCTGCTTCAGTTAATGACATAAAATAAATGCTTTGGTGAAATTAAAATGAATTTTTGTCCATGTCTGTCTGCTGACCTGGGAAGGGTTGTAGAGGCATGGGTTGTGGTGTGGGAGGTAAACCAAACCAAAGAAAAACAGACTTGTTTCAGATACATTGTGCTAATGAAAGAGGACACACCCACCTCTGAACTGAGGTGGGGGGCAGGGTTTGTTTGCCCAGAATGTGGATACTGTAGGGTATGGCAGTGAGCAGTAATCGGGGCTGCTGCACTGTGCCCATAGCATTTCTTTTGAGTGCATGCACCTTTCCATCGTTCCCCAGCCACCCCATCCAAGGGGGTAGCATGTGGGAGGTGGGGGCTTTCAAAGCCTAGGCTTTTATTATTGTGACCAGAGAAAGACATAGCGGCCAGGTTGTGGGGGGGCTGGCCCAAAATTTTCTTAATGCAGGTAGCGCTAATTGGGTGGGTGCTCTAAGCACATCAAGCTTATCACAGGTCAGAAGTTGAACCAGATGATTGACAGTGTTTGAGATCAGAACAACTTAAAAACCAGTCAGGAAGGCTTGACAAAATTCTAATTGCCAATACAAGCCAGAAAACCCCGTACCTCCACCCTTCCACAAGATAGCAACCTCCCACCCCATCTACACTCCGCATGTTAAACAGAAGTAACATGAAGTGAAGAATCGAACAAAGCAAATAGAAACCTTTATTTACAAACCAAAAATTAAACAAAATTAAACAAACCACAGAACAACTTTTATAAGATAATGATGCATAATTACTACATAACAGGAATTTCTTTTTACTACCATAACGGTGCATAAAGCATGAAAAAAATCAATCTAAGCAGTAATCATTTCTAAGTAAAAGAACTTGGCTCTAAGGTGGACTTTCAGAGCTTGACCGAGAAGTTGTGGATGGCAAAGGACAGATCTGCACCTGCCTCCATGACTTCCTGGCAGGGGCAGGGGCAGGGGCAGGGGCAGGAGTGAGGCCAATGACCAACAGGCATAAAATCGTTGCCAGGAGCCTCGTCATTATTTGCCAGTCCTCCCGGGTCTTGGAATGCCTCTTGGACTCAGTGCATCTCCTTTCGTGCTAGACAGCCATGAATCTGCTCATAACCAGATGACCCACCATCTCACGCAGCCAATGCTCACAGTCCCCGAGGGCATTCATAATCCTGTCAGTTCATGCATCGGCGGCTGCCTACCTCAGTAGCTTGTGTGTCCTTGGCAGTGGCATTGCAAGCAGAGCTGAAAATCAAGAAATGTGGGAAATAGAGTGAATTAAGGATGCTCGGTGCTCTTAAAAAAATAACTCAGTGAATCTTGTGAGTGTATAAGAAGCGGTCAGCCCAAAATGATGAAGGAGGGGTGCCTGACCGTGGGTAGTATCAGGCTCTGACTGGCTGCAAACAAACGGCCACCAATGCGCCTCCTAGAAATAATGTTAATAATAATCAGACAACGGGCCATTTTTTAGTCCCCTTTCTGTCCGGGCCACAGGCAGCCGCCCGGTTCACCCATACCTGCGTCTGGCCCTGCCCATGAGGGAATGAATGGTGACAGAACTCACCTGCTATTCATAAAGCAGGTGTGCTTAAGGCTCATGATCAGGTTCACAGCACTCTGCTTGTTGGGTTTATGTAAAACTGGCAAGTGAATTAATGGCATTAAGGGGACAATTACATCACAACCAGCTGAAAAGGGATGTTTTAGAGGTGCAGGGGCACATGGGTTCATCAGGGCTGTTCCCATAAAATACCACCAGGGTGAACCAGGAAGTTTCTGCCCTCCTGGAACTGCAGGTCAGCTTCAGTGGGGAGGGACTGCACACCAAAACAAAATGCAATGATGCCTTTCACTGGCACAAGTCATTTTTATTCTGTTGAGTGGTTTCATGACACCACTCACAGCATTAACCCCAAGTTAGGAGTCCAGCATTCAATAGCGTGCTTCACTGTGTGGTATTTCAATAATAGTGCTGAGGGGATCAAGATACACCATGCGGGGCATTATCTCCAATAATGGAGAAGGGAGCACATACAACACACACTGATTGATCTCCAAAAGAGCCTGGGATCACCCCGATCTGCAACCCCCCAACACACCCAAGGGCCCTTTGGACACCCACCACACCAAGTGAAATAGGAGACAACAATGACAGATCGGTATCTTTTAATGTTCTTGGAATATAGGTTGTGCATCAGATGTTTATTTTTTACCATTACCTATTTAGCTGGTTTCCTAAAACAAAATGATAAAATGTGCATTATCACATTTGCTTTGCATGGTACTAGGCAATGTTGTGTTGGCAAGTTAAGTCAGTACAATAGAAAAGATTATAGCATTAGCTACAAACAGTTTTAAACAGACTATAAATAATGTTTTAAAAGCAATTGACCTATTTCATGTTTTGCCTCTGATTCTTTTTTAGAGATTTATGGAGAATAGCAGCATAACTGCTTGTTACAATGAACTGATTCAAATAGAGCATGGGGAAGTGCGGTCTCAGTTCAAACTACGGTATGTAGAATACAGGACACTACAAACATAAAATATTGGAACTACAGAGTTCTTGATCCTATATCACTTTACCTTCTGACATCTCTCTGGTCAGTTATATACATCACATCTGTATTTTAACTTTACTGAAGGTGGTGAAAGTAATGTTTCAGTCAGACAGACCTAGAGTTTTATTATTCAGTACTCTGGGAATTACTTTTTTATGCTTCTGATTGACTGTGGATTCCATGTACAATATTTGGCATTTAGAGAAGCTGTCACAAATGTTATCAATTCTTATATTTATGTTCCCTCCCATTTTAATATGACCTCTGATTCTGAATCTGAACTGCAAGCCAGCTCTATTTTTAAGGCATCATTCTTAATGTCAGTCAGGATGAAATGTCAGTTTATAAATATATTATTCTAGTAGAAATAAAATAAGCAGATTATAAAATTCACTGGGGGGGGCAATTTCAGAGAAAGTATGTCATAAATCAGAGTCTGCAATGTATATCATAAAACTCCAAGAAGGTAGTTTATTGTTCATCTGTTCTATTATCTTCTTACTGACTGTGACATCCTGACATACGAGATTGAGTGAAAACTACAGACCTCAAGATTTGGCTCTTTCTTCACTCTGATGAAACTTTCATTGACTTCAGTAAAGAGATTTGTCGTGGTAAAAAATTAAAAATTAGAGATTGTATTACATGATAGTTTTTCTTAATCATGTTTAGTTCTACATCTAACATACATGCCTTTGTATATACAAACATATTTTGGTTGTATTACATAAATAACACACTTTTAGAAAAAATATTCTTCAACAAATATCAAGGAGGAATACTCTTCAGTGGTAACACATGGAAAAAAATAATTTTTTTTTCTGTGAATTTGGGTTCCTCTAAAGGTATGCTCCGATACTTCTTTATTAACTGAGCTGATCTTTTACTTGAACCAGATGGAACAAACCTGGGCTATTTTACAGAATCTGAATTATGTCTGTATATTGTATGTTTTTTACAGCTTTGTTTTCCCAAGGGATAGTAAGATGATGTCTGAGCTTGCACAAACTTTTTCCATTTGCAAATTTATCATCATGTACACACATAATAACTTTGTACAGGGAAGCATGATTTGTGTATATCATAAGTTATATGTGCAAAATTGCCAGCAGTTTCAAATCATCTTTTAAAATTAGACATTTGATTTCTGTTTAATTTCTAACCATGAATAGATGAAACGTTTTGAATGAATAAAACGGTACAGAATATAACAAGGTAAATACCAGATAAAATTATTAAATTAATGTTTTTCAACCAGCCACTGAGTGAAAAACTGTCTACTTGGGTTATTTATCAATTGCATTATTAAATGAAGAATGTTTCAGTAGCCTTCCAGCAGTTTTCTTTTACTATTGGTCAGGTGTTCACATGATTTTGGATCAAAGCTAGCTCTGGTGTAAGTACAGTAATCAGGAACCTTTTCAGAAGTTACAGTGGTCCTGGTTCCTGGGTGATGCTTCTGGTCTGTCAGTTACAACAACATTAAAAATCCACCTTATCCAAAATTCAGCCTTTCACAAAGCAATTTATGTATGCTACCCACTGTATCAGTCATTTGTGTTAAGGGTAATGGGTACAGGGAAGAACAGGAATACTGTGGTTTATTAAAAGAAAATATTTTTCAGATAACTAAAATGTAACTTCCAAGATTACCAGCTCCATACTTAGCATACGGTGTTGTAGTAGATTTTTATCATCTAGCCATGTGCAAAGTTACATTCCTGACAAGAACTGAAATACATGCAATTAACATACTTAATTTCTTACCTGAGAAAAGTTACCTCTTTACTCTTTTTGTATCTTTTACCCATAGAATCTCGTGTCCTCTAATGTTTGTCAAAAACATACAGAAATAAGGAACAAAGGTTTAAAAAAACCCCAATAGGCATTGCTTACATGTCATCATATTGAACATGCCCTCACATTTCCTGGTCTGTTTTCTTTTCTTTTCTTTTCCATTAATGGTGATACCCTCCTTGTTGAGAGTGCAAAACCAGGATGCTTTAATGTGTCAAATGCTGTTCCCAAGAACAGAATGGTAATACAACACGTCTGAATTAACAGTGTTAATTATCAATATAAAAAAAATTCCCAAATCTGGGAAATATGACTCGTGTAGATTACCAGAGAGGTAGTTAGTCATGTTAGTCTGAAGTCACGCAGAAGCCAAAGGTTATAGAATAACTAAATCAGAAATGTGTAGCATAAACCAGGAATGGGAATTATTTCGGCTGGAGGGCCACTTAATGAGTTTTGGTGAGCTGTTGGGGGCTACAAGGGTACGCCTTTTGTCAAGTTGTTAAGCCCCTCCGCTTGACAGGAGCCCTGCCCCCTGGCCACCATCTTGGGGCTGGAAATCCCACCCCTAGCCCCATATCTTTTCCAGTGGAAGTGCCTCTCTTTGCCCCAAAGGTACTCCTTTTTGGAGGGAGGTTTGCAGTCTTGGAACCAGAAGTCCTGCTCTGTCACACAGTCCATGACATAAGAAGACTTGCCCGCCCGACACCACATTCCACCTCCCTTGCCACCATGTTGGTCCCAGAATCCCTGCCCCCTCATCACATCAGAAGGCCCAGTCACCTGCCCCCAAACCCTGCCCCCCTCACTGCCATGTTGGTTCCAAAATCCCCTGTTCCCATCACATGGTCCCTAGGCAGAAGCTTCCTCTCCCCAGCACCCCCTGCTTTCAGTCTGGGGGGCAGGACAGGCTGGGAAGTGGTAGCCAACTGCCTACCAATTGGGGCTGGAACCTACCACACAGAAGACAGAGAGAAGCCAGCTTTCAGAGGGGTAATGGTGGTCTAGAGATAATTTTACTTCAGAGGAGCAGGCACAGGCTGGATAGAATCTCTTGGTGGGATGGATCCAGCCTGCAGGCCATATTTTGTCCACCTCTGGCATAAGCTGTAAAATGAGCATAAGCCTATGCTATACATCTCTGATTTAATTGGTCTGTAAACATGCAAATCTACCTAGCCTTCACAAGGATCGCCACACATTTCTGCAGGTTTATTTAAAATAGCCATCTGCTAATGAAGGTTTAAAGTCCACATAAAAATTGCAAACCAGTAGTGTCAGTCTCTAGATGTATTTAATCTACCTGATTTGCTGATATTTTTTCACCTAGATTGTTTAAAAAACTGTTGTCATTTTTTTCAATTCATTTTCCTTGAAGTAAATTACATAAAATCTGTCTACTTTAAGCTTTTTCTGCTTATTTACACATTAGTAATATGTATCCTACTGTAGCACATAGGAGTCCCTAGTTAGGCCATGATGCCCTTGCAACTCCTGCTCTGATCTGGCCTGCTGGGTCCCTTTCCTTTTCCTTCTCCTACCATACCTTGATGTATTGAGTTGATTGGTGAAAAGGGAGGCTGCCCTCAGGTCCCAGGTCAAGCCCTTGTCTGTATTTTGGCCAGCAGGTCTCTCTCAGACTCTGCTGGTCCCAATCTTGTCCCTCACACACTAAGTGGGCCCTCTTGGCCCACCTGTGCCCCCAGGGCACCTATCATCTTAAGGGCTATTCATGACCTCCAGCTACCCCCATACTCATGCACACGCCTCACATGTTATCAGTTAATCACTCTTTATCAGCCCTGGTTAGACCTCTGCCCTCTTTGGGGCCTTAGCCTTCCTGGCCTCTACCCCTTTCTTCTAGCTGGGCTCCTTAGCTCAGGC